TCCACGTCCAGGTGCAGTAGAAAAATTTGAAAATGAAGACCATCAAGTTTTGCTGGGCGAAAATCTACCTCAGCCTCAACAAGAACTTACAGAACAGTTAGGAGTTCCTCAACTAGCAATATTGCTTCGATTATAGACAATGGAAAAAATGCAGAAGGAAAGAAAATGAGTTTTTCATAAACTGACGGAAAGAACAAGCAGAAAAATTAGAAGTAGTGGATGATTTTCGATATCTAAGATTACTCAGGATGGAAGGAAGATAACAGAGACTCGAGTCGTCTTTAATAAAAAGAAGTCACTTCTATGGTCGCGAACAATTTAGAAATTCGAAAAAGATTATTAAAAGTTTACTGAACGGATGCGAAATATGGATGGTGAGTACAACGGAAAAGAGAATGTTAGAAGCTTTCGCATGAAGAGACCGTGCATAGTGAAGATTAAAAATGAGGAGGTATTAGAAAGAAGTCGTAATGGGTCACTAAGAAGTAAGCGAGATAGTTTGGTAGGACACCTTCTCAGGCATGAAGGGCTATTTAGAGACATATCAAAGCTGGAGTTAAGAGGAGTAGAGATAGATATAGATTAGATTACTGTTCACAAATAGTTAAGGATATGGAATGTTCTTGTTTAAGCGAAATGCGATGATTTTGACTTGACTATTTAATGATGATGAATGATGTTATTCTAATGGAAGAAAACAAAATCCAAAATGTTTACACCTGCTTGAATTTGCGTTTTCGGTACAAAAGGAAAACTTTTTTGACCAAAATCATTATCAGTTAAGGCAAGTAAATTTTTTACGAGAATCCTAAATCGATAGAGTGCGGATTGATTCAGACTTGCCAACGTCATCAGTTACAGAACCGAATATTCATGATAAGGATGTGTTATTGTTTGTATGGTGGGACTGCACAGGAATCGTTCCCTATAAGCTTCTGGAATTTGGTGAAACTCTTACAGCTGAACGTTACCAGGTCCAATCAATAAAATTAAGTGATGATCTAAAAGAAAAAGTCTATTTACAGGCTAAAGGAGGCGAAAAGTGACGTTTCTCTCTGACAACAACGTTCGTTCGCATAATAGAGTAAGGTTAATTCAGAAGCCCATCTTCTGCTTGGGTTGGGATGTTTTTCAGTATGCGACGAATTCTCCAACCCCTTTTTGATTACCATCTATTCATATGCTAAAATGGTCTGATAACTTTTTTTCGAAGCTAGCAAGGTTCTACCACGAAGGCAAAAGACCATAGATAGTATAGCGAATATTTTGATTATTAATTATTAGAGTAACCGTTGAATTTCACCAAGAAACATACGAGTTTCTACTTGCACGCCTATTAAAACAACACGCTTTAATATTCATCAATCCTTAGAAAATCTATACATTTGAAAACAATAATGTTTAAAATAATACTACCTACTGAAAAACAATAAAATCTAAGACGCATTTTCCTTCATGTTCTATTTTAGATTTTCCGTTGCGCTATTCATGTTTTCTTTTCAAATAAATTTCTACAAATACGTTTGTAGGACATGATGTGTGTTCGAAACCGTTTTTATGTAAAAAAACATCTTTCTTGTAACCTGTAAAATAAAAAGTTTGTATGTCCTCCCCATGCAAACTGTATCTCTTGTTTTCAAACTTGTTTTCAAAACAGTTAAAACTTTTTCGGAATAAACATAGGCAGAAACGTCTGCAGCTTATAAAAGATATTGCGTTGTATGGTGCAGGAAGTAAAATATCAGAATATTACTTTTTAAATCATTTTTTCGGGAAAGCTTACACAAAAAGCTTTACAAAGTTTTCACTTGTCCAAGATAATTGCCGTTTGCTTAACAGCAGAAAAGGCAAAAATTCTAAATTACAAACCGCTTCAACTATTTGACAAATTTATGACACAACTTTCACCAGCACTCTCCATAATTCAATACTCTGCGGATTACGTGAGGCTTTTGACAATTGAATTAAGATTGTGCTTTGGTTTCTCACAAGTTTGTTTCTATTCTAAAATCGTAGATTTTGTTAAAAAAAATCATAAAACATAAAATATCAAAATGTAAAACTGTATTGAATTAAATGAGGCTGTTATTTAAATAGCTGAAATTTGAGATATAAGGATTATAAATTAAAAAAAANAGGATTATAAATTAAAAAAAAAAATGGGTAAGTGAGAAAGATAACTTCTAAAATTTCAATAAGGTGTAAGATTAAAAATTCATTTAAAGTATTTTAAGTCCTTTGGTAAGTCTGTAAGAGTTGTAGCTGGATATTACTAGTTTAGATAAAATAATCAAATAAAAAAATCAATATAATATATAAAAATAAACACCATGGATAGTTTTACCAAAAATACCTTTCATAACAAATATATATTTCAGAATACAATAGATTTCGGGTATAACGGCGACGACGGGACCACTGTAATGTCGTCGTTATATCCGGAGGTCGTTACAGGCAAAGGCAAATAGATACAGACACGTATGTACCTATAGTTTTCAACATTGTTCAATTTTGAAACGATTCCACCTTTTTTTAACAGTTTAACAGAATATTATTTTGTAACTGAACCAATTTAACGTACACGCTTACAACTAATATCTATAAACAAATGGTAAAGATCACTTGCAGACCATCTGTGTGGATGTAAACAAAAGATAAGAAAACTTTGTGGGATTTATTCCAATTGATTCATTAAAAACAGTCATTACACCCGAACTCAGCGTTACATCCGAAGTCGCTATAGCCAAATTAATTTTGTACGAAAGTATGCTTTAAATTCAAGAGACTTAACGTCATTATAACTAAATGGTCGCTTTAATCAAATCGTTTTAAATGAAATCCACTGTATTTGCATAAATTGAATTGAAGAACTAAAAAAACTCCCGGCATAGGTTGCATACTTAACTAATAACGTAAAACAATACTCTTTAAGAAAGTAATGTTTTAAACATTTTATTGTAACTTCAAGTTGTAGTATGAGGTAGTTCATTATTTTAATTTCATATTCTATTTTTTATAAATACCTCAAAAACTGCTGTAAAACAACAAAAACTTAAAAATACATTTGTAGGCATACATATTACATACTCTACAGAAAAAAGTGGTTAAATTAGCATCATAAACTTATGGCAGGAAAAGGCAACACGAACAAAATTCCTTTATATAAAGAAAAATTAAAAAATTCAACGATAAAATAGAAAATTTCGCTAATTAATTGGAGCACGTATTTGCATCAGAGTTGATATAGATTCGAATAAAATCTGTAGACGTTTGCTAGAGTTCATACTTATTCTGTCCCTTTCCATTCGAAGATTTAGCCGAAGTTTAACAAGAAAATAATTTATTTACAATTCCTTTTTAAGGATTCACCGTAAACTTGCAGACTCTTTAAAGTTTTACTTTGATTAAACACGAGAATTATTCGAACTACTTGTTGTAGAAGTAATTTCAACTCCGTTATTTAGCGAAAACACCCTTTAATGATTAAAAGAGATCCCATTTTTGTAATGTCTGTAATTTAGTTAAATAACATTTGAAATGAACGAATTTAATTATTTATACAAGTGCAGGCTTTTATTTCACAAGCAAAATTTTATGTTAGTTATGTCTCGACTGTACTTTATTTTCCTTTAATGAGATCGAAATCCTAATGAAGATTTCGTAAATGCGGTTATATTAGCTGGTCGTGTAAAGTTTATAAACTTTATGATTATTCTAAATTTAGGTAGAAATTTAACCAAAACTAGTACGGTATTCTCCGGCATGAAGGATTAGTTAGAGATATAGGTATTAGAAACAGGAGCTAAGAGGTGTAGAGATAGACCTAGACTGGATTAGTGTTCACAAATAGTTAAGGACGTGGGATGTTCTAGTTTTAGGGAAATGCGAAGATTAGCTTAGAATAGGAAAGAGTGGAGATACGTGTCCAACAAGTCTTAGGACTGACGACCTTGTGATGATGATGTTAGAGTAGTGTTAACGTTCGAGTGAGGTTCAGTAATAAGGGTTCATACTGTATTTTAAAATGTTAAATTAAAGTTTCCAATCTACTGGTACCTACGAAACAATTAAAAAGTACATAGGTATCTATGCTTTCTATTTACATAGGTCTTATGTATTATATTACAAACAAAATTTTATGAAACGCGTCAATTCAAAATAAATATTGTTATATCCTGTTACCATGAATTGTAACATTTGATATTTATAAATTTTAGGAAGGGCTAATCAAAAATTAATAATTGTTTTGTATTATAAAATTTCTAAATCTTCTGAAATATTTCACACTTTAAGAAGAATATTTTATAAAGTAGGTACAATTTGCATTTATATTAACCAACCAAGAACCAGTAGAGAAACGAAATTGTTACTGACATCACGAATGGAATTAATAAACTTATCAATAAGCAATTACATCTTTATTTATTTTTTAAATTAGAGAAAGAAAATGTTTGATCCAACTTCCCAAACATTTATATTTCGTCTCATCTCGTTACGATTAATTACTTTATAAAAAATGCCTTTGGCTTTATTTAACAATTTTCAACTTTGAACAAGTTTCAAACTTTGCTTTTCAAACAAGTAAATTAATTTTCGGTTACACTTCTTTTATTTATGAAATCTTTCCAAATAATAAATTACTTATTTTATTATCTTTTATAAATAGACATGTCTCTCTCTTGGTAGAATTTTTAGAAAAGCCCGGTTACAGCTGCAGGCTCTTGTTTAAATCCGTGAATCAAATAAAATTAGCAGAACATTAATTATCTTGTACATGAGCCACCTAATTTAAATAACTCAAATTTCCATTTAAAGTGTAACAAACACAAATTTACAATTGTTTTACTGACCATAATTAACTATGGTCATTGGACATTTCTAAAAATTTATTTTTTTTTATTTTATTTGTACCGTGTGAGAATAATATTCTTTTTAACAGAAGCGGGCATGGGGCTTTTTTTACTCAAGGACGTACAATCTTTTCCATTTAATTAACTTACTTAACAGGGTTAACTTTAGAAATGCCACTTGTTCAGCTTCAATCAATCAATGTTGTTTTTCACATATGGATATGACATCAAGGGGCAGAAATTCTGGATTTTCGAAATTGTCTCATTTTCTAATAAAATTTTTGTTTTGTTATTGTAGAGAAACTTTCGTACTTTCGTATTCGTGCGTGACAAATCACATCCCGACAATATTCCCGGTGTTGTTGAGTCGTCGTTCCGCGAATGACTGACCTTTTCCGCGGAAAATTCGGAAAACGCGCGCGGCACGTTGCGCACACACCAACTGGCCGACAAAACGGTTTTATTTTATTATTTCGGGACGCGTTTGACTTATTGAAGGAAGAAAATCAGCGCAAAGCGACCGACGGTGACTGACGGCAGGCATCAGCCCGCGTCTATCCCCATGCAAATTGACCGATTTAACTGCTGTGCTTCTGCGATAATATTATAATTCGACACCGAAAATGCCCGCTTCGCTGAGTCAACTCGACTGAAAAGATTAATAAAACGTACCTATGTCCAGCGTAAAAGTGAAAAGGGTAAAGTTTTCTTTTAATTTTCGCTCGTAGAGGAATAAAACGGCATATGTCAAACAGATTTATTGAACCAATCTGCAGTTTCCTCGTCCTTCACAAGATTTTTCTAGTCATGGTAAATGTCTAGATGATGGGTGGGTGGGATTGAAAGAGGAGGTCTCCCCCACCACTGTATCATAAAAAGTTCGTGGCGGTCTCACCCCCATCAAAAGTTATCTGGGTTAGATGGGGGTGGGAGTAGGGGGATCGAAAGAGGGTAGGGGGGATTGAAAGAGGGTGGTCACCTGAGTAAATTTGCGGCAGTCTCACCCCCATAAAAAGTTATGGGGGTTGAAAGTTGATTATTTTGACAATTTTCATACACTATAATTCAAATAAAATTCCATAAAAAAAATATTTTCAAACGGGTCGAGGTGGGGGATCGAAAGGGGGTGGTCACTTAAACAAAACCCGATAACCTAACCTATTGATAAAGATATTTAAATAATGTTTTATATAACTTTCTCAATATTTTTATGTATTTTTCATTAGTTTTACCTTTGAATATTGTTTAAGAATGATTATATAAATATTTACATGCCTAGAAATGTATAAAAATTGGCATATTTATTAACTTTGAACCGCCACGAACTTTTTATGGTACAGTGGTGGGGGAGACCTCCGCTTTCGATCCCCCCCATCCCCACCCCCCGAAGGGGTGAGGGCCATCATCTAGACCTTTACCCTAGTCATTTAAGTCTAATGGCAGAAAAACTAAAATTTAAAATCATACATCTGGCGAAACATTATATTACACCCTTTTGCAAATGTTTCAAATACCTAAATTCTTTTGTATATCATTCTTTGTGTCTCTGCGTCTATATAAATATTTGTATTCGAATTCTTTTGTGTCTGTTTTTCTATTATTCTCTGTGTAAATATTTCGAACAGCCTATTCAAGTTCTTTTGTAGTCAATTCTATCAATATCAATAACTTTAATTACTTGTACTTTCCTGTAATCCCTATTAACATTTCAGCTTCGCGTACTAATCGCATCATACCGTTTGTAGTTAGGATCCTTTCCCAATTACAATTTTACGATGAGTTTTGTTCAATTTTTCTGAAAACTTCTTTTTCATAACTTATCTCGTCTTCCTATCTTTTGGTACTGCTTACTACATTTCATCAGTCTTATCGCCGATCATCTTTCCTTTTGAGTTTGTAGATATATTGTTGTGGTGTTGTCTTATCATTTAGTGTTTATTTCTACGTTATTAAGTCCTCCAAAAGCTCTCACAAACTGTAAAGTGGCTAACATGCTAAACTACACAAAAATGCCCAAAGCAAGAATAAAAATACATTAATGTCAATCACAAAAACACAACTTTATTAAATATTAATTTGAAAATTCATTCTCAATTTTTATCCACTTTAAGTTACCTCAAATTAATTAGGAACCAGGAATTTAAATGTGTTACAACTTTATTATTTTACTGATTCCATAATTGTTATTCTTACACACAGTCCCTTCTCTAGATGAATGAAAATTAACCTTAAATATAAAACATGCCTTTGAAGACGCTAATATTTAATAATTTTTGAAATTAACTTTTTATACTCTACAGATTACTTTAAATTAATGAAGAAAAATTGTTACTGCTGGCACTCCTTCGCCGGGAATCGAACCCTGGTCCCTAACTTTATGTGTCAATTCTCAGACCACTAAGCTACGGGAGCTGACAGCAACAACAACGAAGACACGTAAATACAAAGTTACAAGTGTTTATATAAAGATTTTACACAAACGAAATGAAATTTGATGATAAAATGTCGCACTTTATCTTTCGGCTTAATAAAAAAATGAAAATTTTAATACAAACCATAATTTCTAATCTTGTTATTGTAAAATTGATTTAATCATAAGTGTTACGTTGATAAAAAAATGCAAGAGAACGAAATTTTATATCCCTTTCAATAGATTTAGCCCCAACTCCGAGAATCCTAGTGGCATTTGAGATGAAAGCATCAAACTCCCCGTTACGCAAAGATCGGGACTCTCAACGATAGTTAGTATGCGTAGAATTTTACATACTTAGTTTGCATTAAATCAACGCCCATTCTTCTTGTTTAGATTAATAAAACTCGTTTCCACGGCTATTAATTAAGGAGCGTCAGGTTTGTAATTGCAAATTTTACTAATTAAAGTTTGTAGCTGACGCATTGTTTGAACGAAATTCATATAAACAGAGATAACTCTGTCTAACTCCAAATTAAACTAATTTGTCCCATATTTACACAGTACACTAATAATGTAAATTAAATATGCTTAGCGTGTTCCATTTTGGTATAGGAATTGATCTACTTCTATGTCTGCTTGATAAGATTACAAAGGAATAGTTGTCTTTTTCTTTTTATTTTTATCACGATCAATTCTGAAATGCACTGTCATCAAAAAGGCAAACTGAATGATTTACTGAAACAGAAAAGATCCAAACTGATTAATAGAAAAGATAATGTGTTCTACCAAGATAATGCGAGGCCTCATACAACTTGTATGAGGTCTTGGAAACTTTGGTAACCCACTAAAAGCTTTTGCAGCTTGGATCGGACATACTACACCACTCCTACCATATTATCCAGACCTGGCACCTTTTAATTATTACTTGTTCCAGTCTGTATAAAATTATTTGGACTGCAACTGTTTAATCCAAATGAGGACGTCAAAAATCATGTTGGCATCAGAAAAATGGTAAAAGGTGTTAAATAAAAATTGATAATATATAATTTACATACACATTTTCCATTGTTACCAAAGAATACTTTCCTAACAACCCTTCTATAATAATTGCTATAATCAAACAAGCTTATAAACCGTAACGGATTTATTCTTTGTTAGTATTTTGTGATTGTTTATTATTATGTAGGTAATTTAATAAAAATGAAATTTATAAGCCTTGGTAATAATTGATAGAATCACTTTCATCACTCCAGCCACGCGCTTCGTTTCTTTTTAATATAAAGCGTATTTTTTTCACAAGAGTAGCCATCACTGTTTTTGTTGAACCTTTTCTTTTTAATAGGATTTTCTCCTTCCAATATTGCGTTTCACGCCTTTATAGATTTAAAGGCTGAAAAAAAAGAAATTGTATATTTTGGAAAAGAATGGAAGAAAATGAAATTGGCCAATTGCGAATTCGACTTCTTCCAAGAAAACCTTTATAATACTCAATTACCCTTATTTCTTTATAACCATAAATTCAGCAGTTTTTAGAAATAGAAATAGGATCATATTTTTATGTACGCACGCATTTAATATCTACTATATTTCCAATGAAATGACACAAAAATGACTATTTAGTCGGTTTTAACTAGTAAATATGTTTTCATCGATATGGAAATGATAAAATGAGAACATGTCACAACTTGAGGTCTTGTACCTCCTAAAATAATGGTTCAAACTTCGATAAAAAGTTTATGTAGGACAATTTATTGAAAACAGAGTTTCAATCCTTTATTTTCCAACCTTTAAATACGGTGTCATACAAAACCAAAACTAGGCAAAATTCTTCTTCTAGTCTCTAACTAGTTTTCACTGTAAGAAAACAAATTGGATAGGGTCATGTTTTTGTAGAACTCAAAATTATCTCCAGAAAATACTCGTGAAGTTAACATTTTAAGTAACAGATCATTTAACCATTAGGTGAATGTTAGACTAGTTAGACCCGCACTTTCCTATCTGAGCTAATTAACGCATTTCCCTAAAACTAGTACAACCCATATCCATAACTATTTGTGAACAGTTCTAATCTAAGTCTACCGTTACTCCTCTTAACTCCTGTTTCTGCTTCGGATAATTTTCTAACTTGCCCTTCATTGTCTGAGTAGATGTCCTACCAACTTATCTCGCCTATTTCCTATTCACTTCCACAGTAACCTCTGTTCTATTCTTTCTACCTTCTACCTTCTCTATCGACGATATCCTCATCATTCTCCTATAACACCACATTTCAAACGCTTTTCTTTTCAGCCGCTCCCAGCGTCCATATTTTGCATTGTCCGTACTTCGCAGTGTTCCAGACATAGATACACCTTTAACAATATTTTTCGAACTTCTAAATTAACCGTTCGCGAGCATAGACTTCTTTTTGTTAAAGGCGACTCGACCCCTCGCTATGCTCTTTTTTATATCTCTAATCCTCCTTCCATCCAGGGTTATCTGACAATCAGACTCTTCTTTTAATTTTTCGTCTCCTATCTTTATATTAGCTCTTTCCTTACTCTCCTCAGTCACCATCCACTCATTCCCACATTTCCTAAAACGAGGCAAAAGAGGGGCTTCCGCCTTATCCTCCGGCTTTCCACTAGCGTGCAGGTCCTACTGCTATCCGCTAGTATTGGTACTTTGTGGAAACGATGCAAAATTTGACGTTTTCTTTGGCGTTTACCATCTATTTAACTTTTCATGAATTTAGGGATGAGGAGACTGCAATTATTTACTGATGATATATCAATTCTATTTAAAACGTGCAATGTCATTTAACAATTCAAATAACCCGTTCTCTTTAAACGACATGTATTAAATGCTTTCCGAATAATTTTGTGTAAGTTAGATAGAAATTGCTACTAAATGGTAAATTTATTGTTCTAGTGGAGTTGCCCAACTATTCAGTGACATGTCAGGTACTGTAACGCTCGACAAAGAAGTTATTTAATACGTGCTTATAATTTAATCCATAACGCCACATATCAAGGACTCTGCCTAATCGAACTCCAGTCGACTGTGAGTGATAGGTAATATCGGCAAACGAACCATTCTGTCGTTGAGTGACTTAATTAAATTTTCCAAGTTCACTCCACTGCCGCAAAAACTGCTACTTTAGAAAACGTGACCGATTTATTTTATGAACTTCGTGGAAGATGAGGTAAACTCCACTTTTACTTACTTA